CAGCCCATGAATTGGTATATAATTGCACATTTTGCCATGTCTCCTAAGCAATGTGCACAACCAGGTGCGCTGCCTGAAGTTCTGCCCATTGAGAAGATTTCCTTTCACCACTATCCTTCAGGGACGTTCCTGAAAGGGACTGTTAGTGCTGTGGCTGTTCATTTTTAGTGCCAAATTTCTTCTTGCTTGAGAGAGGTCAGTCTTTTGTTCTATTCAGGCATTTAATTGATTGGATGAGGCCTACTCACATTATGGAGGACAATCTGTTTTTACACCAAATCCACCAATTTGAATGTTAAGCTTATCCAAAAACACCCTCACAGAAACATCCAGAATAATATTTGACTAAATATCTGGGCACCGAGGCCCTGCCAAGTTGACATATAGAATTAACCATCACAGTGGATAAAGTTCTCTTTCATTACCAACGTACTTCTGATCCTTCTTCTGTATCTTGGCCCCCTTTCTCTACATCACCAAATGGAGAAATGGACTTACATAAAGAGATGATGAATGACACCCCTTTACTATCATTATTATTATTATTATTTTAATTTCACATTCCCTTATACTGTCCTTTCTTGCCCAGTGTCATTAACCAAGATACTCTTCAGGTCTGCCTTCCTCCTGATTCCAGAATTATCTCTGTTTATCTTATATCCATCAAACTCCCATTTCTCAGTAACCTTTCATAACTATTATCCAAATGAAAAGTAATCCTATAAATAGTCTGCACTATTAACTGCTAACTATAAAGTGTTAATAGTTGATAATGACTTAATGAAGTCATTAAGTCATGGATGGTGTTCTACATTACGTATGTATGTACAGGTGGAGTTTAGGCAATGTGATGGGCAAGGAGTGAAAGTAATTTTTGACAAGTGAACATTCTGTCCCCTTATAATCCTATTTCGTGAGTGTCTATTAAGTCCTCTCTAGTCAAGCCCCAAACATTTAACACCTGGTTCCCTTTATAATGCTTCTTCTCACAAAAGGGAAAATGCAACAATGTAAAAGTTTCAGATGCTATTCTTTTTTTTCAGGGAACTTCCAGCAGTTCAGTACAGCTGGATCATAAGATGCTAGAATAGAGTGGAAGGAGGTGATGCTGATAAAACAGGCAGGAATGAGATCCTGAATAACCGTGTATGCAGTCATAGGAGTCTGGGCTTAATCCTGTACATGAAGGGTACCCACTGAATTGGAAGCAGGAGTTATTTCAATTATGGTTCTTCGTTTCTTTAGCAATGGCAGCTGGAAGCCTGGTGTGGCCTTCAGCCATTGGATCTGATGGGACTAAACCTGTGAACAGAGAAATGGACTTACATAAAGAGACAAGGAGTGACACCCCTTTACCATCATTACTTTTTTTTCTTTTTTAAGTTAGTTCAGAACTGTTTGATCAGGAGAGAAAAATACTTTCCATTTCCTCAGATGTTCGAGGTAGACCCAGTTAGACCTCCTTTCCTTCATAATCATTTATTTTCTTCTGCTCCAGGTCTTATTCTCAAAGGCCCAGCTAAGGCAGAGCTTTGTAAGGGGGTGGGGTGGGCCACAGTCAGACACAGTTGTTCTGTATCAATTTCTTGACTGGCATATGCTTACAAAGGGCTCTTTGTTGTGTGGTGGGTTAGTGAGGTTGTTCAAGGTTGGGTTAGGAAAATATTGGCCTTCAAAGTTTCTGTCAACTGGTGCATAAGCACCTTCCAAAACACCTGTAGAATGGAAATGGATAAGACCAATTGATAGTCACTGTGACGGAGTAGCATGTAGAAGAGGAAAGCAAGGGGTTCAATAGATTATCATTGTTAGAGCATGAGAACTTTGGTGGTACTGCTGGCATTTTCTTTGTGATATCAATAGGTTTGCTGCCAGTCTACAAAGGTGTTGCTTGAGCATTGAAACCATCCCTTGACTCCTGGTCAATATCACCAAATTCTTCCCAGAACTTCTCAGATGAGGGTTCTTCAATTAATAAATGTATCACTATTAACAAACAGCTCACTGTTTTTTTTTTCTTTTTCTTTTTTTTGACCGGTAAGGGTATTGCAACCCTCAGCACAGTGTGGTCTGCACTACGCTCAGCCAGTGAGCGCACCAGCTATCTGTATATAGGATCCGAACCTGTAGCCTCAGCGCCCCCAGCGCCACACTCTCCCAAGCCACGGGGCCGGCCCGGCTCACTATTTTTTTTTTTTAAGTTTGGGTGATCCAGGGACCTGTTCGGGGCTTGAAATATCAAAGGGCTTTTAGGTAGGAAACACTTTGATTAGTTAAATGTGACGTTTTTCAGCCTTTCTTTAAGGCAAATGATAGGCCGGCCCGTGGCTCACTCGGTAGAGTGCGGTGCTGATAACACCAAGGCCACGGGTTCGGATCCTATATAGGGATGGCCGGTTTGCTCACTGGCTGAGCGTGGTGCTGACAACACCAGGCCAAGGGTTGAGATCCCCTTACTGGTCATC